TAGCGATTCCTTTACTGTGGTTCCAAAGTCTTGGGCGTATTTCAAAGCACTAAACGTTTTGTGTTGAAGTGAGAAACCTCATGTAGGTTGTCCACCTGCGTTGTCAGAAGTTGTTTGTACCTCGATACAGATTTTGTCGACATCCTCTTTCGCGTCCCTCAATGTTACCTTTTTCGCAGACGTACTATTTTCGCTCATAGTTCAAAAGCTTCACAAAGATATCCAAGGGTTTTAAGAAATGAAACTGCCGAAACTATTTTAGAAAGACAAAGCTCGTGTTTTAACCGGCCTTTCTATTAAAAAAGTCTCAATAGTTAGAACTCCAACATCAGTTACAAAAATGATTTCTCGTAAGTACAAATTTCATGTAATTAAAAGAAACATTGCTGATTTCTTTGAACCCTCAGAAATTCTTTTTGGCCAGATCCAATTCTAAGAGTCACAGCTTTTTTATTTGGATAGTAATCTTTTACTTGACGATCTTTTGAGTCCGTGAAAACAGTATTTTCCTTTTCGAACACAGTAATCTTGTTAATATTAAAAGATGAATTATATGTTGAGTTTTCTACAACCAGCTCTTAGACTGACGCTTTCTGTTTGTCGGGTAATGCCCTGGTGTCTTTCACAAATAGTAGTATCAGTTAATGTGCAACCGGGTCATCAGAGGGACAGAAAAATATCAGAAAATAGCATTTCTGCTTGCAAAACTTTGTTGCGTTCATTGACATTAATATAATATCACTTAACTGCTAACTTTTCATTTATCTGTAAACTACTATCTTTTTGGCCAATTATCAGTTAACTACTATTTTTTTTTTGCCAAATATCAGTTAACTGTTAACCCCATTCCCACCCTCTAAATAGTGAGTATCACTATAACCCAAACCATAACCCTAAAAATGGTTTTTGACCTTTTAATGACGTTTACTTTTCATTCTTGGTATCTCACACTTTGAGTGCGCTCAAAGACAAAGCGGAGCTTCCATTCTACGCGGGAAAAATGGATTCTTTAATTTATCTAAAAATAACTACTCCATGAAAACGCCATGACATAGGCCTAGTGTGAGAGTTGCTCGCTCCGGATTATGGTTACACGTTTGGGCGTCACGTAACTGTCTGCTGGAAGAAAGTAAGTGTTTATCAGCGAGTATACCTGCATCGCGCGGGCAAAGAGCGGGCACGAGTGGAGACGAAGGAGGCGTGTCGGAGGCTTGTCGGTTGTCGGAAGCATGTGGACTGTTTAAATGTGGACTGGTGGACCGGCTCGCGCGCACTCTCGTCCCCAGAATTCTCTCTCTTGCTTTCTTAAGGCACGAGAGAGAACCCTGGGAACAAGGTTGCTTGCTGGCCCGTTTGCTTGAATACAAGGTAGTCAATTATGACGCAATAGAGCTTGTTGCAGCCATTAACCGGTTCGTGGTTTATTAGGGTTCACAATGCGCTTTGAAGTTCTCCTGCAGTCAGCCGCTCTCAAGAACTTGCGACAGAAGCTTTCGCAAGTATCTTTTTCTGCTGGTATGTATTTTCACCTTTCTTCCGATTCCCTTGAAACACTCATTAGTTTAACGGTACAATGAAGCTCGAGCTTGGTCAACAATCCATAATTTAAATCATTTACTTGTGCCACGTTCAGTATTACGTCAAACAAGTGTTCGCTGACTATGGGCAACCGCGAATTCCAACGGACAAAGGCACCACTACCCTTCGACAATCGCGAGACTGGATTTTTTAATCATAACTATATAAACATTTTCAAATCTGATTGGCTATTGGCCCTGATTGCCGCATTTAATAGGGCAATGCAATAGGACAGTACGCGTCATTCCTAAGTAACCGAACAATACGCGCCGATCTGCGCGCGCACTTGAACGCTTTTCTTTGTTAATTAGTTTGTTTTTTCACTTCTTCCAAAATACTCTCAGAATATCTTTACTGGATTCAATTAAAAAAATTAAAATATTACAAATTTTGTTATAGTTAAGATACATGGTTGACTGACCCTTTGTGTTGCCCAATAGGATACATCACTGTTTACAAACATTGTTGTTATTATTCAAATTCATAACCAGTGAAACAAAAAGATCTTTTGTTATAACAACCAGTATTGGTTGGCACATTAATATCAATAAGTGAGGTCAGCGTGAGTATCAATAATCGCTCCGTAATCATAACATCTTTATCAAAAGATCAGGCCCCAGTTGTTCAAAAAGAAATAGCGCTATCCACCGGATAAATCGCTATCGAGTGGATAGTGCAATTGGTTTCCCTAATATTTATCCACTAGATAGTGATTTATCCGGTGGATAACGCTATCCAGCGTTTGAACAACCCGGGCCTGAAAAAAAAAAAGGAAAACAAACCTGGTGGACTCGTGGATAACCTAATTATAATCGATGAAGCTCTCCTTTGGGACTAGGGAATATCACAAAAAATAGATTTTCCACACTTGATATCATGTAAAGCTGCAGCGTCCATTTCTTTAGTACTGGCAATTTAACGCGTGCATAAACCAGAATCCGGGAAGTTTTTGCTTGTTGAATCCCAAATCCAGGGATTTGGAATCCAGTGATCAACTCAGGAATCCGGAATCCACAATATAGATTCCATCATCCAAAACTGCCTTCATACTGGATAAACAATCTCGTCGTTGCCTCTACAGGTTTTTCATCTCACTTCACTCTGGCACATTTGTTCGTATCTTCTGCTTTCTACTTATCTTTGTTACTGGCTTTAGCTGTCTGTGCTTTTCTTGTCCGAATTATTGGAGCCACACCCCAACCGCAACCAATATCAAGAGAAAAACCAAAACCCGTCAAGTAAGTAAGGGCACAATTTCATCATCTAATATATTGTATATCAGAAAATATCCTGATTTATGAAACGAAGTGATAACAGTGAAAAAAGACTTCTCTGTCTGTTTTTTTTTTCCTCTTTCGATTCTTCTCTTTCTCTCAACTTTTACCTTTTTTAAAAGAGTTTTTTTCAGGCCCCCAATTAAACCTAATTATTTGAAAATCTGAATGAGTCACTGTGCTTATATGGCCAACCTTGAAATAATTAACTCTCAGTACTACGATAAACTGCAACTTCTTTCTTTTCTTTAATCTCAACAATTAAGTTAATCAAGTCCATCAATATCTCTTTTTCACAGATCTTCACCATCGCAAAAAACATCACTCAGGACGATCATCGATCGCGATGTTTTTCAAAAGCAACTCAAAAATAAAAGTGACATTCCATCAGAATTTCTAGACAAGGAAAAGCCCAATTTAAGTTTGACAAAATCCACAGTGGAACAACCACTCTGTGGTACAGCCACACCCAGACTACATGTGGACATACCGTCCACAGAGACACAAAAACAAAGAAATTCGATGATATCGCCTTTGACAATGTTTCTTTTGGAAGATTCTCACAAGCATCACAAAAGCATCAGGGAAACCACATGGAGAAAGAGAGAGAACGAAAACAAAGAAGAAGAACATAATTGTAAAACCCGAAAGCTTGATTAAAGATTCTTTTCTCCCTTCCTCCCATAAAGAAAAAAAAGTTTTTTTTTTCTTTTGCAAGTCTTCAATATCAATATATTCACGAACCAGGAAAACGATAGAATAGAATCGTTGACAGGTGGTTCTGGAGACCGCGCAAACTGACTCTCAGCATATCAGAACTCAGAGTAGAGTAGGATTACTAGCATTATAACGTTCCGGCCTTTCTCGTCACTGCACGAAAAATTAGATTTACACAAATTTGCTCGGGGCAAATTAGGTGCAAAAAAGGGAAAACGAGGAGGAAATCGACGGCGTGGTAAATGCCGCATTTGCTTCAGTTTACAAGGGGTTGTAAATTTGTGGGCAAATGCAGTATTTGCCATCTTTGCCGTTGATTTAACCTTAGCTTGCAAAGTTTTGCACCATATTCATATTTGTACTGAGTAAATTTGGTGTAAATCAAGTTTAGCTAATTTTTCGTGTAGTGCGTTTTGGCATAGTACGGACGGGCTGGGAATTAAAGAAGTTGACGGTCTAGAGACAAGTCTTTTCACGTATTCTCCAAAAATATACACCCCAGAAAACTGCACTCTATTTTCTTTTTCACCAGATAAGTTAGCACAGTTATTCTTATATTGGAAGAGGTTAACAAGCCGCGAAAGAGACTGGGGAGCCGATAACGTGATTGTGCCTCGCAGACGTCGCGAATTAATTTACCGAAACGGCAAAATTCAGTACTGCTAGCTTGAATGTGGGAAGAGCTTTCTTTTATCCAGACCACCCCGCCCCTCCCCTCAGGACAAAACGATTTTCCCTGAGGGAAGACGGAGAGTCTGTACACAGGCTATTAAAACGCAGCAAGGAACTACCTTGATAGACGACCCTCGAGCAGATGATAGACAAGGCGTATTTTGGGTGGGCGAAACCTTGTTCGTGTTCGTATTGTTGAAGCTGTCATCTTTGTTTCCACAAGTGGAAGATTGGGGAGAGTAGAAATAGTAATCCTTTTTCACGAACAAAAACATTTGCGCGCCCGAAGAAAATACCTGCACTGCAGGCTAGGTATTAAAAAAATCTCTTTGCCTATCCCTAACTTTGTTTCTATGTGATGTCACTGACAACCAATCAGAGGTTACAAAATGAGCAGGCTACGAAATGAGCAATTGAAGATATAATCATCATGATCTTCGAATTCGGTGCAATTCGTAATAAGTTAGGTAGAATATGACAATTCTGCTGTCCGTCGACAAGAATGAAAGTGCAAGCAGCACTTAGATTTCCCTTCACAAGTATATTTATCATGAATTTATTCACTAAGTCAACTATTTGGCAAGTAGTGGCAACAGGGGTTCTAGCTAGTAAGGCTGTACGTAAACTTTACTATTGCGTCTAACTTCAGTACAGTTAGATTGTTCAATTTCAATTGCTCCTCTTCGTGTCTATCTTGAAATGCTCATGACATCAATCCTCTGTTCGTATGATTCTAAAAAAGGAAAAAAACCCTCTACATCAGAATTTTTGAACGTTTTCGTCTCCCTCTTTCTTCTTCTTCTTCTTCTTCTTTTTTTTTAATTCTTCGCTTAGTCAAAAAGACCACTTGAAATCAAACAAACTTTAAATTTGTATGTGTTGATCTTAAGTCTCTCTGTTATTGACCTCAAACAGCTTTTAATTTTCCTCAGCCAGTCGTTCGATTAGTTGATCGATATGACAGCAATACGAAAGGGAAGGGTGGTTATAACCATTGAATGAATTTGGCAGTCTTACCTGATTATTCTTCCACGCGGGTTGTATCTTTCGTCGTCGCTGTGTTCTTCGGGTCCTCGCCGAGCAGTAAAGCGATGATCTTCGCAATGGCTTCTGGTCACTCTTTTGCCGCTTCTTGTCATCTTTTTTGGCGTTTTTGCTGCTGAAGTATTACAATTTCTTCTTTCCAACATTATGCAGACCAAGGCAAAAATGAACACAAAGGCAAAAATGAACACAAAGGCCATGAAGGCCAACGCTAAGCAGTCAGAAAACATTCAGCCTGCTCTTTCTTGCTTTTGATAGAGTGGAACTTGATCACTCATCAACTCACACAGGAAGTGATCAGAAGTACATCAACGTCGGAGTTTAAATACACCGGCCAGCTCATTTAATTTGGTGTCCGTAACGCAGTCAATCGTAACATTTTTTGCCCGTATAAATCATCACCATACGGTAACCGACGGAAATCCGGCTCAATACATGTCTTCAGTGCTTCCAGCTGTGCACACGATATCCAGTGTTTTTCCTTTAGTTTAGCCCAAAGTAAAAATGAAGATAGAGACAAAGAGGAGCTACAACAATAATGCACAACAATTTCCGTATTAATTCCCTTTTCTAAGCCAACTTTGCTGACCCCGGCTGAAAAAAATAATGAGACTGTTTCGTAGTTGTTTATATATTCAGATATATTTTACGGTTAATAGCTGTCCATCAGAGATTCATACGGCTTTGAAATGGCATGTGCTAAAACCCAGACGATAGATTCTGGACGATAGACGATAGACGATGGATGATAGACGATGGACGGTAAACGATGGGCGAGACTATTTTTACAGACATTTTTACGAGGGTCATAGTTACTACAAATTACGCGAGACTTGTCAAACGAGCGTTAATTAATTATTTTAAAACTTCAATTTGTCACGCAGTCGTGGTTAAAAATAACCTGCGATCCGGCGAAGTTTTTTTTTTTGGCCGCCCCCGCAAAAATCGCCTGATTGAAGGCTATTTTTACCCGCGATTGTGTGACAAATTTGAATGCGATAAATTGATTTCAAGGTACGCCTTTTACCACCAAAACTTGCTTATTTTCCTCAAATCTAACTTTTAAAACTGCTCGACTAGCTTCAAACGACATTTCCCTCAAACTCTCCAGGGCCAAATTAAATGCGCTATATAAAATATTTTTCACTGCGAATAGCGTGAAAGATTCAGTGGTGTAGTGGTTAAGCTCTCTTCCTAGTATGCGTGAGGTTCTTTGGGGTGCGGATTCCAACCGGCAGAAGTCCTTCTTTCTTACTAGGGTTGTTGTTGTTGTTGTTTTTTTTTTTCTTTTTGTTTTGTTTTGTTTGTTTGTTTTTTATCTGTCGGCCCTTTCAAAAAAAACTTATAAGGCGCAAATATCTACATAAATATATTCAAATTATATATATTCCCTTTAGCTTCGCAAGGTTCTGCGACACACGTATCATTTCTAGTTTTATAGAGTCATTGTGACATGCAAAAAGGAGGCCGAGATTTGTCCCTACAAATTAAAATACAAATGTATGTGCTATATCTAGAGCACCTCAAGCTTGAATTTCATTAAAAAGTCTTTGACAATTTGGTATCGTCCATTGTCCATCGTCCATCGTATGGCCTGGGTTTTTGCACATGCCCTTTGAAATTCACCACCGGGAGGAAGTTCCGATTTCTGGTGTCTTTGTAAAAACCTAATTAGCTTTCAACAGAAACCCATAAGGGGTTGAACAACCCCTTATGAGTTTCTGCATTCAATTAATAGACAGTCATGACTTGTGTACTTTGCGTCACCAATCGAAGACGAGCTGAGACGAAAGACAGCTGCTATTTGTATCACTTCTTGCTCGTTGTGTAGCTATATGAAATCCCGATTCATAAGGAAGATCTTCACACATATTCCATACAATAGGTGAGATAAATACAGGAAACGCAAGCTTCCATGCACAGTTTCAGCTCGATTTACACAGCTTTGATCAAAACATTCTCAGTTTCGAGAATAGTTTATTCTAAACCATAAGAAAAGATTTACTTAGAAGTTGAATTTTTCGCTATTTTTCTTTCACTTTTACATTCAGTTCATTTTATTTGACGGAAAGGAAGCCTTAGAAATTAAAAGGACGTTTGATCAATTCACACTCGCACATTCTAGTCTTAAACTTAGCTTTATAGCTGAAGGACATCTTAGGGGCACCCAACGACAATTTTTGGAAAATATCTGTTCGGAAGACGATTTGAGATCAAGAATTTTTGGAACATTTTTTGTTAAATTTCTTGCTTGCATGCCTCTCCTAGGATTTTCGAACATCCCAAAAATGGTATAATTGCCCATTTTTAACGGATTTTTCCCGTAAAAAGGTCACCTAGAATTTTCGAGAGCCTTTTTTCTGGCTGAAATTTTCGAAAAGGTAAGTTTTGATCCCTATAATTTTCGGATCACTAGACTTACAGCTAGGAAATCCGAACAGATGAAAAATTCTTAGGGGATAAAAATATGCCCATATCTACCGTTTAAATACTAAAATACGTTCAACAATGCTATGTTTAAGTGGTTTTGAACTATATTCTCCTTGGGTGCCCCTGACATCTGTGAGCGGGGAATAAGTCAACACAGAATTTGATTGTCGGCGAATTTCTGTAATCTTCCATCGTTCTGCTAGTGAGAAGCTAGCCGTTGTTCACTCGTCTTGCTTGTTTGGGGTTGAGTCTTAATTATTCCGATCAAAGAGAGAGAAAGAGTGTCTGGCAAGGTTTCCAATGAAAGATTTGTGAACTCGTGTCTGGCAAACTCTCCGACTGTTTATATATACAAAGCTATACGCACCTTATAACTTCTTCTGCGCTTAACGAGTGTCGTTAAAATTTTGGTCCATAACTTTCACTGAAACAACTCCACAGAATGTCACTGATAACACGTAACGCAAGAGTGTCGAAGTATGACTGCACAATAAATATCACAAAGTCTACCTGAGCGGTCCCTTGGGGATGTTCTGTCTTAACGTCATCCTAACCATTTCGTACTTGCGGGCGCAAACATTATAAACGTCATCAACGATTCCTCGCGGCCCCTGTTCAAGTAAATCGAGATTTTTTCTGTATTGGCTATGACTGTATGACTGTATATTTCAACTGTAAGTACTTTCCTCTGGCGCGAGTTACTAGAGTGCCTCCTTGGGATTTCGCCTTCTGGGCGAAATCCCTGCGGGGGCAACAATGCGATCTCCCGGGAACTTTCAAAGCCGGCACGAAAATGGCGTGTTCGTCGGGAAAATCAGTGTTTTGGACCCTCGCTTGCCAAACAAACGTAATTTCGTATGTAGTATCTACCAAATCAGTGACCAAATGGTTTTACCGACAGATAGAATTCAAGGCAAATAGTCGATAGTACAGACTGAGTACCGGCGCTCGAGTCAACACATCCAGGTTTGGTTTTCCAAAGACTGAGAAAAGATAATGTTGTTGTCGTTTCAACCTTAGCCCGAGCCTTTAATTCGCCGATGGCATGCAGACGAAAGCGGCTTTAAAGCTATCAAAGACGGACTAAATTCCCTCCAGCTACTAGAGAATATGGCGGGAAGCGGACGTGAAGTCAGAGGAAGCGTTTCGTCGTGAGGAAGATCTGGAAAAGGTACTTGGTCGTGGATTACTGAATTGGGGAAATTAAAATGACGGGATTCGTTCGAGAAGCAATATCGTATGATTTCCTGACGGTGGCAGATAAGAGTCGAGGTCGTTGTTGATTATGTAAGCTTAAATAATCTTTTATCGGCGCTCTGGTCGCTAACTGGATTTAGCTGTACGGTGATGCTCTCCGACCCTTCTCAATTTTCTAAAAGTATCGGCCGAAGCGGGTAAGTTTATTTTGGGTTTCTTTGTATCATCTTTAAATGGATACGTATTATTATTTAAGCATAAAAACGTGTCAAGGTCGACACTGATCACTCCGATCATTTTATAAATTCTCAATAATTGCTAATTGTGTGAAAGTGTAATGTCCATGGATGTTCAGGGGCACCCAATGAGAATATAGTTCAAAACCACTTAAACATAGCATTGTTAAACGTATTTTAGTATTTAAACAGTAGATATAGGGATATTTTGATCCCCTAAAAATTTTTCATCTGTTCGGATTTCCTAGCTGAAAGTCTAGTGATCCAAAAATTATAGGGATCACAAATTACCTTTTCGAAAATTTCAGCCAGAAAAAAGGCTCCCGAAAATTTTAGGTGACCTTTTCAGGGTAAAAATCCGTTAAAAATGGGCAATTATACCATTTTTCAGATGTTCGAAAATCCTAGGAGAGGCAGACAAGCAAGAAATTTTACAACAAATGTTCCGAAAATTCTAGATCTCAAATCGTCTTCCGAACAGATATTTTCCGAAAATTGACGTTGGGTGCCCCTGAATGTTGATGGAGATCACTACTTCTTAAGCCCGATCGCAAACAGTTCAGTTCAGTCAGAGTTCAATTTTTAAGAGTGGTTTCAAATTAATCAAATCCTTATTTAATTTTACACCGACCAAATCCGTGAAGTTAATTGTTTTAAGGGTGTGAGGAGCGCAACCACAATAAACCAGAGATTTTTGGTAAACAAAGTAATTGCACTTTTGAGCTTTGGTCAAAGCCAGGTGGTTGTGAGTTTTAGGTTTGATGTTTAGACTATCTTGTTTGTGTTTTTGCAGTGACTCGAATCTCAATTTGAAATGCCTGTATTTGCTGTTGTTGCTGTTGTTGTTGGTTTTTTTTTTGAAAAGTTTGATGATGAGAATTTTGTGCTGGTTCGATATGGAATTGAATCGAGTTTTTTTTCTTATGGCATGATTGAAGGTACTTGAGGTTTATTACTTAAGATCAATAATAGTTGGTATAATTGTTAATAACTTGCTTGAATGCATTTTAGTGCCGTTAAGAGAAATGGTGATGACCAGGCTTCACTTTTACATACAAAACTAATCCTAAAGGAAACATTGATGACATTGCTGTCAAGTAAAACAGTTTGGCCTTCCTGATGCAACAGAGCAGCTTAGCCTTTTTAGGCTGTGGCTCTGCGAGAATGTTACTCTCCGGGTGTCTCAGAGGGAACTAAAAACGTGCTTTCAGATGTTGTTTGAACTCTCGTCTAGCACTAAGTAAAACCGAGTTTGGCCCTCCTGATGCAACAGGGCAGCTTAGCCATTTTACAGGGGCACCCCAGGATTTTCTATGAACAATATCTGTTCGGAGAAGCAAAAAAATTGCCTACAATTTTCTATTGCT